GTTACGACCCGACCGTACAACGTTCGCACCCTAGGCACGATCTAATACGTGGAGCTTCGAGTACTAACGCCCTTACAGACTAACGGTTTGTTACATATAAACTAATAATTAATATATTTGAAATCTTTACTTAAAAACAAATCCAGTGGTATTTTTCATTATTTTATAGCTATTTTATTTAAGCGTGCACTTATAAAACGTTATTTTATAAAAATTATTTTAGCGTATTTTTTATATAGCCTTAAATAAAATAGCTATAAAATAATAGAAAATACCATTGGATTTTTTTTTAAATAAAAATTTCAAATATATTAATTATTAGTTTATAGGCCCACCTTTCGTTAAGTTATTAAAAAAAGAGGTAAATAATACTTTATATAAAATTACCGGTGTTATATATATCACGTGGATAGCTAGCTCAATTAGGTGTCCAGCTTAAGTAAAAAATGCATTAAATAAAAATTTTTAAATTAAAATAATAAATATATTTATTAATAATATTTTAAAGGTAAAAAAAAAGGATTTTAATTAAAGTAATATAAATAAAATATAATGGTAATATTAATGGTGAACAGCAAAAAGGTCATAGCTCGCCCCAGGCGGGGGTCGAACCCGCAGCCTTCGGATTGCACACCGGTCAATCATAGATCGTAAAAGTCCGACGCTCTAACCAATTGAGCTACCAGGGCGATGCTGCTTCGTTGTCATATATTAGCTTAATTCTGCAACGCCCATGGGCAAGGGATGGAAGGAAATCCTCGGTGAGATATTGAGAAAATAGGAGACTGATGTTACAGAGCAGCAGCAATATCATCAATGAGGCCAAGGATTTGCTGCATGACTGATACCTAAATATCTCTGTGGGAAGCCTCATCTCGTTTACCGATATTCAGATCGATTTGGGCTCTTGGTTATTTTATTTTAGTTCGGGCTAACCTGGACATTATTAAACTAGCTCTCAAGTATATATGTTTTTACCGGTAATGTCGGCAATAAAAGTTATAGGTTTATTTTTGCGGCGTATACACAGCCAGCAAAATTTTCATACGACTTCTCTTCCAAGCGGTATACAGCGTTTTATTTCAAGCCAGCTAAACAGGCGTTTATAGCCTTAATCATACAACATATAGCAATCAAATTATATCAAGCTAATCGGTGGCACGATGTCGATGTTCCTCTTTAATTTGAACAAAGTAATCTGGGCCTTGAGCGATAAACATGTCTCCAAGAGCTTTGAAGAACTCCCTTTTATCCACCGGAGCTGCACCCTTCAAATTAAAAGGATCCAGATCAATCTCTAGCGATGTCTGTGGAATGTACTTGACGCCAAAAGCGTCTTCGCGCTAAGGGAACTGTCCGTATACTTCTCCGTGTATACCTCCCCATAAATCCGATATCAAACGGTTTGGTGCTAGCGAGAGCTCTGCGCTTCGATAATAGATAAAGTATATAGGATCGGTCCGAGAATTATACAACCCTCCAAATGTATTGTTGTTCCAGCAAATAGTTAGATACTCGTCGAGCTCCAATAAGCCGTTCAAGTCCTTTATCGAAAACTGGAAAGCAAAAAGGGCATCTATACTGCCAAAATTCGACGTTGTGTGAAACGGTGCATTTAGCTCGGTTGATTTGTAGATGGATAATGGATACTATCACGTTGCGTACATCTGACAGAGAGTCGTCCTGAGGAATGTAAAGAGCCGGAATTCTGTCGAGAAGCATCTGCTCTGAGTGAGGTGCCGCAATATTGTTACCAGAAAAAGCCCATGGCGAAAGCTCATAGTTCAGGTGCCATGGGGTAATCCGAGCTGAAGATTGAAGAAATAACCCGTGCGACTCGAGGTTTGTCCTCTGGATGACCTTGTGCTGTAGGAGAGATAGCATCTCATTGTAAGCTATTTTAAGCCCCTCAACAAAGTTAGTATGTGAAAGGGTGAGCTCGGAAGGTAATGCCCAGCGAGGATAAATCTTGCGATGACTATCCTTCATACTAAACTGGGAATTTTGTACCATCATATGCCAACATAACCAACAGGACTTCTTACTGCAACCGAAGTAATGCACGCATTTCGGCGCGCCTGGTCGCAAAAAGTACGTGAGAAGCTGGATATCGCAATGCACGGGTGCCGTATTTCTGCCCTCTCTGGTAACCTGCTTCAGTTGCTCTTCCACCGTCATGCCCATAGAAAAACGTGTACCGCTCTCCGTCTTACTCACTGTGTTGACGTCACTCAACCCTAGGTCTCCAGACCAAGACCGAATCTTCTGAAGGTATGAAGAACCAGACCACCTATCTTTCTCAGATAGGAGTATTTTATACTTAAATTGGTATCCTTTCTGTTCTTCACTTTTGCAAAACTTGAAGAAGATGGCACAAGCGGCGTAGAGTCGGCCAAGATATTGGACCCCTTCTACAGCCTTGGCGAGACGCTTCAGTCCTGATTCTGAAGCTGACCCATTCACCTCAAGGGCAGGGTGACGGAACTGTTCGCTTTTTCGAGTTTCCCCGGCATACAAAGCACAGTTTGTAAGCAGGCGGATTCTTTGCTCATGAGACTCAAGAAATCTCGATTTTTCAGCTTGGTAGTGGCTGCGTCTGTTAATTAGAGACTTAATGGCATCCCAACCTCCCGTACGTAACTGCTCAGAGTCGATGGGAAGGGCAAGGTCCAGTAATCCAGTATCTAATTCGCTTATTCTGGTTACATAATGTTCAAGCCGGGATTGATTGCGGTGTCTTTAGCCCGCGCGCCCAACCTCTTCCTTCGAGCTCTCCTGCCGTTATATGAAAGGGGAGTGCAGCAGCATAAAATGTATCTTTCTCAATTCCTGGGATTTTCCAAAGTGACAAGTTAGGATGAGTAGACTGTATCTTCAGCTCTGATGTCTTGGTCTCTAACGAGGGGATTGCGGGGTGTCCTGGCTTATTGGTTTCATTTGCATCCTCCGAGATAACGTCATTCTCCTCAAAATGAACTGAGCCAGACATCGCATCAAGGAGTAAATTTCGCCTATTAATGATGATCAGAATGACCAATTAAACACCCATCCGATAAAGTAATGGTTCTAGTTTGGAAACGCGACGCGACGAGGCAATGCGCGGTTGTATGACGAATGAGAAGGTAGGCAGATGGACTGGAGAAAAAAATACCAACAGTCAGAACTTCTATTGTCGCAGCTTATTGGGCTAACGATGTAGCTTGCATGCACTCAGCCCCTCGAGGCATTTTCCTTGTGCGTCTTGCCTTCGAGTAACTTGAGCATCTTCGAGTAAATCTCGGCCTACCTTACCAGAGACCTTATCATAAAATACTGAAAGTCGTTTCGAAAAGTTGTTGTTGGTCCGCCAGTTGCATCGCCTCTCCATCCATCAGCCCGTGTACGTAACACTTGCCAGCGAGTAAATAGTAGCGTCCGCATAGGCGGAGACAAAAAGGCATCTTTCCACCAAACAGGACGCAAATAATGTCACCCACGCTCATAATCCCAGGACTGAGAACATAATATCCCTTCCGCGATCTTGCGAAGGTGCGATTGTCTGTTGGAAACATGTCGGGACATACGAGGAGTGAGTACGTCTTGCGATGGTAAGTACACATCTATTCAATCGACAACGATCAATACTTAACTGTATGCTCTGATCAGAATGCCTTGCCACTTCGTAATTTTAGTGCTGCAAGATATAGATAGTGCGAGCCAGAAGTCGAAGTGGATTAGATGTCGTAGATGTAATGGAGAGAGTACCGTGTCTACCAACATTGGAAATCAGAATTGCTGATTACTGCCACCGTTGGGGGGAATGGGGGGGGGGGGTTCCGATCATACCTACACTGTCCCTAGTATAGTACGGTAGGTATGTAACCTTAGGTACCTACTTACATGTATGTAGGCACCTGCCCCCCCCCTGCTCACACAGTGCCACGTTACCTCCAAAGCTGTAAAGTGGCTGGGGCTGGAGTTCCACAGCTCAAGCCACATTGAATTGAGCCCCGGTTAAGGTATCATCCATCTATCAGAAAAAGTCGGCCGTTTCATCGACGGTAAGAGTGCCAACTATCAATCCCCCAATCGGCCTCACACACCCCCATTACCACAATAATGCGACGGATACCGAGACTAAGGAGGCCACACGGCCTGCCTTCCTCCACGAAAAACTATGTATCGAAACCTACGGCCGGTTCCACGAACATCACCCCTCCGTATTCGCAACGACCAGCTCGTTTCTCCTCGTCCTCCTCGTCCTCCTCGCAGCCCACCGCCCCTACATTCACGTCCCGGACAACACAACCATCATTCTCACCGAGCGCCAACCGCTTCTACTCCTCCTCCCCCACTCCCCCCTCCGACAACCAACAAAGGACCCCGACAATATATGCACAAGAGGATCAGACAGCAGTGCGGCCCGCAACCCTTTCCGCCGACGAGATAATCAGCGCCGAGCAAGACGAGACCGATCTCAACTGGCAGCAAGACACAGACGTCTCTGGCGGCCCATACGTCCTCCCGCCCGAGCGTGTAGAAGCCGCCCGCGCCAATGACGTTGCCGACCCAACCTACGCCCCGGCATCATTCGCCGCCGGCCTAAAGACCATCGGCGGGTTGGCAGAGTGGTGGAACCGCCCCGAGAACTGGGCGTCGAGCGGCGACTTCGCCGGCTTCCGACCCCGGGAAAAGGTCGTCGAGCCGCACCTCATCGAAGCCGCCGTCCGGCGCGCCGTCGTCGAGGCCCTCGCTCTCCGCGAAGTCGGGCGCGACGGGGATCTCGTGGGCGTCTGGCCCGTGGCTGTCTCCAAGGCTGATCTGCAGGCACTGCTTGCGTGCGAGGTGAAGAGTTCTGCGGATGGGGGTGTTGTGCTCGGCGGTGGGAATGCGGATGCTGTTGCCGAGAGCTTGCGCTGGAAGGATGAGGAGGGGGATGGTGCTGGGGACCGCGTTGCTTTCGCTGATGCCCTGACGGCTGAGGAGGCTTCTGCTCTTAGCCAATCGTGGGATCCGAGTTGGAAGGGTATTTCGCTGGGTGATGCGCGAATCCGTTTCGCTGTATGTTTGTTTTCTTCTATCCGTTTTCTCTTTTCCCTCCCCCTCCCTTTCACCTCCCAAACATCTTGTTTACAAATCCCCTTGGGAATATATCAACTCACAACATAAACAGGTAACCAAGCGAGTCTTCCAACTCACAGGCCAACGCGTCCCCGACCACCAACTAGAGAGCATCAGCACAGTGCAGACCCTCCTGCACACTCTAAAGAAACCCTCCAAGCCCGCCACTCTAACCCAGGAGCTGCAAAAGCGCCACCCCGATCTCCTCGATCTACCCAACGTCACCTTCGCTCCCAAACGCGTCACCCGTGGGGACAAGGAGATCGCCCTCGGTCGGTTCAAGCTCATGCAGGAAGAGTTCAAGAAGCGCCAGTTACCCGTCTACGGGCACGGGTACGCGCGGAAGGGCAAGGAGATTGCGCGTCTCAGGGGCGGTACGTAAGCTGACCATCCTTATAATGGGGGTTCATGTACAGTTGTGCGTGCCGCTTTTCAGTCGGTATGAAGACGGCTGTTATGTATATTGTAAATCCAGCCGGGAAGTGACGGATACTGAACCTCGATGGGCGGTCAGTCGACTACTTGGAAAATAAATCCCGCGGTTATCTTATGTAGACATAACTTGCATCCATCCATCCTGTAGGATGTT